ATCCGGTTTGGCAAAAAGAAGCACAAAGACAACGCGGAAAAAACACCTCGCGTCAGGAGGGTTACGTAGGTATCTTTTATGTAAAAAACGCAGCGCGGATCACGCCATGCAAAACAACACGCTAGAGTGCAGAAACGACGGCTCTCTCTCTCTCTCTTTCTTTGCTATCTTGGCTGGTGGTCGGCTATGAAGCTGTCGTCGCGTACACCACGCACGGCATCACGACCGTGGCATGGGCGTTTTTTTTTTTCGTGTGTTCACGTGTGCACTGGTGGAAGGAAAATGCCTGTGCAAACGATGCAAGACACAAAAAAAAAAAAAGATTTGTGAAAGAATTTCCAACATTTTTTACCGCTCAGGCGGGAAAAACAAGGCGAGAAAAACCGCAGTCAAGTCTTACGTTTATTCTCACTGCCGTGTGTCTCGCTACCTGTTCTTGTAGTGTGGTTGAAGATGTGGGATGAGCGCGTAAAGAGTGCGAACGATTGCAAGAAAAAAAAGCTCACATTTCTTCGCACAGGCTCCACAAACAGTCCACCAACCCCTCCGTCATCCTATGGTCGGCAATAGACGCGCAGACTGCCAGAATCACGAGAATCGACAGGTACGTCACCGCCTTCACCTGTGACCAGTGGGGGGGGGGGGGGGGGGGGGGGGCAAGAGGGACGAGACTTTTGATTCACTGGGAACACAAAACTGTGCAGGACGGCATGCGCGCTTATCGACGAGTAAGGTGGGAGCGTGGAGACGGACGAGGCCGCCTGCAAGCCCGCACCACGGCAAAACAGACGCGGTGTCGATGTCTACAAGCATGATACACAGCTGTTCGAGGCTGAGGGCGGATCACGAAAAAAAAGAAGGTGCGCCGTCGCCGCAGAACACTCCGCCCGAGGAATTATAACTCGGAGGAATTTCAGTCGTGCTTCTTCGTCCTTGTTTCTCACACTGCTCTAGTCACGGTCGACCGTAGTTTCTGCCTAACCCACGCACGACCTTGCCTCTCTCAATACAAAGCTACCATCCGGGGTGCATGCCATGCCTTAATCCTTGGACTTGCCGCACATAAACCGCCAAAGAGAACGTAAAAAAAATCGAAATCGAACTACGACACGCCCCCATTGTCTGACACCGGGGTGCACACTCGCACCTGAGAAACTGCCGCAGCCCCAAAAGGCTCCTCAAGAACGCTCCGACCGTCTTGGCGTCCCTCAACATGTCCACGCGGTGAGGAGCAGCGGACGCCACGATCAGCGCCGGGGGCGAGTCCGGGGAAGAGGGACGCGGCGGCGACCCCGACCTATCGTCGCTCAGAACGCCGCTCGCTCCCGCCGCAGAAGACGGTAGCGTTGTCTTCAACTTCGGCCGTGACACGCGCCCGCAGAACTCCTGCCCGAATCGGAGGGCGAGGGCGTCGTAGAGCGCGAGCGTGTCCGCGGCTGAGCGCCAGACACGCCAGTCCCCGGCCCCGGTCCCGGGCGTCGCCGGGGCAGGCCCGTGCGGGGGGTGGATGCCGATGTGTCCCGCCCCCGGGCTGCTGGGCTCGGCAGAGTCTCCGCGTCCCCACCAGTCCATCTCCCCTCTGCCGCTCGCTCGCACCACCAGCTCGAACTGCACCCCCAGGGGCTCGCCCACCCTCGCTCCGTCGTTCGGGTCTAGCGCAAGCGACGGGTCCAGGTGGTCGTTGAAACGGCTCTCCACCATCGACGACGCCCGTCCTCCCCCTCCTCCTCCAACTCCCGTCAACGTTGCCTCCGACGCGCTGAGCGTAGTAGCCGTGCGAGCGGACGACGACGAAGCACTGCGGGAGCGGTCCGTCCAGGCAACGTCCCCCGAGGATGACCCGTGCGCCAACGGCTCGCCGTCCAGGTCCACAAGCCTCCAGCGAGTCACGGCAACGCCGAAGATCGGCGCCGCTACCCGAGGGGGGGCACGGACACCGATGGAAGCGGCTCCGGAGTAGGAGGGCGGGGAGGAGGAGGAGGAGCCTGCGCTGAGTGCCGATTGGGCGCTGGCTCGTGTAACGGTCGTCGCGCTCGCAAAACCGCCGTCCCCCCAAAGCTTTCGCCGGAAGGGGGAGTCTTGTCGTTGCAGCCAGCTCGCTCCCGCCCCGCCCCCGGCCCTCCCCTCTTCCTGCTCCGCTGCCGCTGATGCCGCTTTGTTCCCTCGATCGACGACCGAAGAAAAGAAGCCACCCACCCGCCTGAAGCAACCCCCGGCTCGAGCTCGCCTTTGGCTAGACCCACCCCCACCGTTGTTCCAGCCCGCTTCGGGCTTGCTTGGCGATGAAAACTCCCGATCTTGATCGTCTAAACCGATAATTCCGAGCAGCGATTCGTTGAGGGTGCCGCCACGGCCGTTTGTTCCGCCGGCAATCGGCCATGCTCCGCCGCCTTCGAAGTCGTCGTCCCCGCCCCTTCGCCGACCGCCGAAACAGCACCATCTGCTGCTGCTGCTGCCGCTCTTTGTGTTGCGGTCGTCACCGGACACGGCGGTAGCCGCAACGTCGAAGGTGTCACCGCCGCCGGCCCAGAACGTTTGCCACCCGTTGTTGGCGGACGATGCTGACGGCACCACCCCTTCTCGACCCACCACGCGTACGTACACGCCTTCGGTGTCGTCCAGCTCGGGCTTGAAGAGCTGCAGCACCACGAGCACCGCGTTGGCGAAGAAGGACATCCAGCTCAGGCACCCGATTTCCGCCGGCAGGTGGTGGCCGGAGACCTCGGACGCGTGGCGAAGGCTGGAGAGCACGACGCTGGGGAGAGGGGGGGGGGACAAGGAGAACCTCATTGTACGAATGTAGCATGCGACGAGATTGTACGTACACACAGATCTGTACCTTTTTCTTTTTGGTGAGGTTGGTTCGCTGGGCTCTTCGATTGGGAAATGTTACGAGCTTGGGGAACGTCATTGATGGCAGTTGGCAGCTGATTCACACCAACATGTGCTTCAATTTCATCTTGCATCACGCCTTGATGGCACTACTACTACATACTCTATGCTTTCATGAGCCCACTCCTGAGGCGCGCCATGTACACTCTTACGAAGAAAGTTCGTGGTGGCCAACAGCCTCCGGCGGGGTGTGATGACAGCAACCAAGTTGCAGTTGAGGGTATAACTTGGTCGATAATGTCCAAGTGTACTCGCGCAGCAAGCGTAAATGATAGCATAACTATTGTAACGTTTCTTTCGTGTGGGGCTTGCAAACGCTGAGAGGACCTCCGGTCTGCTTATGCGGAGAACCGGCTGCAAATATATTGTACATCTTGAGCGAGAGAGGGAGTCCAACGGCAACGACAGCGAGCAGTTTGAAAATCTGGCGTGTATGTAGGTAAGAACATTGCTCGTGCAAGCACACAGCGAAGCAATCCACGATCTTCAAAACGATCGAGCGGTCGGCACCGACGTCTCCGCGCACCTGTTTACCACCAGCGCCCCGCACCAGAACCAGATCAGCGTCTTCGAGCAGTCCGGGTGTCGCTGGAGGGCGACAGCCATGGTGCACGAGGCCGCCGTCCACGACATGCTGTACAGCAAGTTGGCCCCGGACAGCATCCCTCTCGGCCTCACGAACAGCACGCCGCACACCAGCGCTATGGACGCCTGCACGATCGCGAGGGTTATCTGCACCGCGTGGACGCGCGCCGCGGTGCTGCCCGCCGCGGCGGCTCTCTGGAACGGGTGCAGCGTGTCCTTCGTCAGCGGGATCGTGTACAGGAGTACGCTGGACGCCAGGAGGAACGACGCCGTCTCTCCCATGCACGGAGAAGGACCCTGTCCCGACTCCCAGTTCCAGCCATGGTGATCGCAGTATGGTATCGACCCCATACACTTCCCACGTCGAACGCGAAGGTGCCGTGCACACGACACAGGACACTCCCTGTGCACGCACGCGGAGAGCACCTGGGGTCATCCCTGATGGGATGTAGCAAGGCAAAGGCATGGTATGTGCGGGGGTAAGGGGCGCCGTGGCGAGAAGGTTGGCCAGTTGCAAGTTGCAAGTTGAGTTGCGCCGCTTGTACAGAAGACGTTTCAAATTTCAAATTTCAAATCTTTACCACACGTCGACCAAGACGACACTACCGCGCGCCGACTGACTCGCCGTTCCGGTGAACGGCAGGATAAAAGGGAGCGGGGCGCACCACAAACCTCCTCTCGCCTCCTTAGTTCGAGATGCTAGACCACGCTCTTGTGGCCCTTTGTCTTTCGTGGCTCAGCAGAAAATAATTGCAGAGACCGACCAAACACTCGCTCATTCCCCCTGCCGCGCTACAGTATCAAACATCAAACATGTTTAGCTTTCAGGGTACAACCATACATGATGTTGGTGGTGTAAATTTCTTTTGGTATTTACACGTAGGGATCCTTGTGCGAAGCAAAAAAAAACAAAATCTTCTTTGTACTCCTACATTGCTCGAACATCCTGAACCGTCGCGGGCGGTCCCAAGCTCTGTCGTTACTGCTTCTCACTCATAGTCCATCCGTCCAAGGGCAATATATCACATCGATCCGGCCGCGTGGATGATATTCTCGTTCACACACCTCACGATAGAATGCCCCCAAAGCCACTGGCACCACGTCCGCCAGCGGGTAGCCCTCGGCCGCCCAGACCCTCCGGAGGCAGGACAACGGGTGTGCCTCCTCCAAACACCAAAGCCGGCAAGAAGGCAGAGATCATTAAAAAAGTCACAAGGTCGGGATTTGATATTGGTACTTGTAGAGCTTGGGAGGGTAGGAGAACGTTAGCCGGGCATGCCATGGACGGATGGATGCGGACGGATATTTAAAAAGAAAAAGTTCTCACGGCCGATCCATATCTCGATACTTCATGCGCAGTAAGCCACACAAATTGTCGACAACATGTGGGCTATTCGCTTGATCCTGTGTGTCTATATATATATGTGCTGGTGTGTGGTGCAGCTTGTGCTGTAGATGCTCTGTAATGCGTATGATTTAATTGCGAAGTGGCCGTTCGTTGTGAACGCGATGCTTGTGGGAAAAAAACATATGGCGCATGGTGTCACATGACCCCCAGAACATGTGGAAAGATATGCGTTGCACACACCATTTGCCTCCATTTGCCTCCATTTGCCTAATTATCCGCATGTTTCTGTAAAGGCTTTGCACCCCCCATATGCCTAACTAACCGCATGCTTCTTTCCGCCCGCAGAAATTGCATCGTCAATGCTGTGGTCAAGAATAAGCAGATGGTTATGGCCAGGAACGAGCGCCTGGGAAAAGCGAAGAAGCGTAAGAGCAGGAAAGAAATTCTCGCCGCAATGGACTTGCAGGTAAAACTGAGACCATCGGAGGGTTGAGGACAGTGTGGGCGGTTCACTAAGTAAGTGTTGGCCGTGCTGGTTCATTTTATTGCAGAAGAGTAGAGGGGGGATGTGTCAGACAATTTTCGCTTCGTGCATAGGCTGTACTGCATCTTCTTTACTGACAATATATAGGCTGTACTACATCTTCTTTACTGACAAGTAGCACACAGTGACCGAACCATCTACCCACGCCTTTTATGAAAAAATGCATTAGCGCCGTCGGAAACAGCATACACTCTGTCCAGAAATCTAAGCGAACACTCTGAGAACTAAAGGCTTACAGTGGTCTAGAGTGTCTGGTTGCAATCATCGAACATGAAGCCTGTTCTGGTATTTCCGCACAAGTCTTTCCCGGGAAGACTAGTACCGCAGTAGAGAAAATAGACTACGCAGTTGTTGTAGCATCAGTCAGATACAGCAAGGGTCGGACGTTCTCCCCCACTGTGTATATTTATATTGCGAAACGAAGATGACTGACCCCGGTCCAGTGCACAAGCTTGTAGCGACACTACTCCCCGCAATAATAGTGACCTAATGCACGTCGTGAGCAGTGCTTGTTAGGTCCTTCTACAAGGTACCGGGGCCGAGTTCCCCGTACAACTTATTATGCGCTACCGAACATGAAAGGAGCAAACACATGATGATCACAACGGCAATCTTAGGAACTACACGTAGAACGGGCTGCCATGGCACGCATGGGGTTCTTGGACAAAGCCGAGGAACTGGACGTCATGGTCGAGGCAGAACGGGCGCGATTAAAAAAGGTGAGGCCCGCTGACTGGTTTTGCCAGGCTTGTATTCTTGCCTTAGGTCTTGACTAAACGACAAACGTGCATCTGGCCACAACTGCGGTTTGCACATCAAGACGTCTACTTGTAGTACCATCCACCAAAACCGGATATACGTGTTGTCCGGGGCAGGATCGTAACACGGCAGACCCTCCTCACCAACGCTCCAAGCGCACGCATACGAGTGTATGTCAGACTTCTACACACTCTACGGAACGAAATCCTGGAATCAGCCTGCTTTCGGCAAACGCACGCACAATACCCTCAACGCCTACAATGTCTTTCCAGGAACGAGACCAACAAGACCAAGCCGTTTTGGATCAGAAGATGAACGGCTTGAGGATGTCGCACACGAGAAGAAGCGCGGCGATGACCTCGGCGCATGAAGCACGGATCGCCAGCCTCTTGGAAAAGTGTGCTACTGAGATCGAGGACCTCAAAGTCAAACAGAAGAAGGAGTACGACGTCTTGGCGAGTACCAATTTTGTGCACGTATATGCAGCATGTGGGTGTAGCTGTTCGTGCGGCTCTTATTTTCTTTCGGATGTGAGCTACAGCTTTCCCCTCGGTGTGTCACCACCAAATCGCCGTTCTGTACGCCATTGAAACACGTCCGACCGCATACTGCCAACAAAGAACCGCATTGATACATGTTTCAACGCCCTCACGTAACAGTTTGTGACCTTGTATCGCTCAAAAAAACGCCTTCCCAGGTGGGTGAAACAGCCACGCGAGCTACCGGAGGGGTTTCGAGCTGCGTCTGCACGGATCCGTTCAAGTGTCGGCACAACAAGAGCGCGTCGTACAACACGCGGAAGCCAACGAAGGACGTCATAAGGCTCAGACAAAACGTAAGTCGGCCGTGCCTTTCGCCAGCAAGGCCTCTGTTGATGTGGTTGTTGTTCATTTTTTTCGAGGGCATGCGAGACGATGACTCGAGGTGCCGATCGAAAGAGTTGCTGCAGAAAAAGGAACCGCTGTTGCGAGTATTGAGCCATAAATGACCACCAAGGCACTGGCGTGCCTTGGCGGATGTCGGGTTAGACTATGGTCATGTTTGTTTCGCGATCCACATGACTTTGCAAAATAGCGATATCGGAGTATGACCAACATGCACTCTCACCTCCCTCACCGACATTTGATATGTTTCCATCATAGGCGAAGAACGATGGTAATCCGCTGATCGACTCACGGCGAGTATCCGTCGACAACAGTGCAATACATAGCCATTCCGTCTTACCGGTATCCTCCAATGACGAGCTCACCGCTTCCCCGCTTGAATTCAACAGGGGCAGCGATTGCGTGCTTCTGGGCGGCTGGCAGAAGCGGACGAAGTAGACAACATGGCGGTCGCCATCGAAAAATTGGCAGAAGACCAATGGCGGAAACGTGTGGAGGTACGAAGTAGAGAAGGCAGCCTGTGTTTTGAGGACGGTTGGTGTTTTTGCTGCGTTCCGATGGTGGTAGCGTCCTTCGGTACGACCGACTGACTGTCTGGACTTCATGTTTCCCTGTTGTATCGCCCCCGCATGGTCTTTCATTCACGCACACCGTAGTAATATTCTACAATCCAGCGGGGCAACATGTATCTCTGTCCCCCACAGCAGCCAACGCGGCACGCAGATCGCGTTGTGAAGTCAAGGCGAACACCTCTCTTCCTTTTTTCGTCGGTCCTCTGCCTTGTGCAGGAGTCCATCCTATCAAGCGCGTGGTGTGGAGGCAAGTCTCGACTGGAGCAAATGGTGGAGCGGCAGCAGGCGACACTTCGGGCTCTCATGAGCACTCACACAGAGAAGCTGGCCCGACTCAAGCAACAAGACCGACTGTACGTGCCGTGCCAGCTACTGCATCTACTTGTGTTTTTCGGGAAAATAGCGGAGACACGTCCAAAAAGCTGGCCCAGATTACACCTAACCTGGTTGTTTCTTTGGCAAACCCGAGGGAGGCGCAAGTACCCGCGTGGCCTGGCTGGATGGTGTTCTTAGTAGACACATTAAACCCACCGAGGCATCCAACCAATAATTGCAACATTTCGATTGCACATATAACAGGCGTCGTCAGACCCAGGCAGGCAGACGAACCGATTTCCGAATCTGACTACAGGATGAACCCCTCGATTCCTCATTAACGTTTATGTGATATCACCCCAGGTATTTAACTTGTCATACTTCCGATGTCTTTGGTTCGTCCTTCGTCGTCTTTCCTTCCCTTCTCCTCGTCGTAAGTGAAAGGAGGAATCTCGTATCTACCCTGGCTGCGGAGCGAAAAAAAGTTATCTTGTACTGCAGGCGAGAAGCCACCAAGCGCAGAACTAAGGATATAGCAGCCGGGGCAAAGGAGGCGCGGACAATGAATGCACACAAGTGAGTCCGCGGGAATACTTAAAGGTGTAGGACGAGAATACACTGCTCGTGGGCATGTGGCGGTGCTTTGGGGTTCAACCTTCATACTGTTTACTATTTTTCGATAACATGCGTGCGTCTTGTGTATCCCGTAGCCACGAGGACGGTAGGCAGCACAAGATGTACTACAACCACCAAAGATTGACACATCCAAGGACAGCTGTTTCCAATTCTGAAGAAAGCTCTCGCCTGAGTGTGCTACTTTTTGTCACCTATGGTACCTAAACAGCAATCAAACCTCCAACGATCCATATGTTCGCCACGTGGTTGCGTAACTACCAACCCGTTGGACATTGATAAAGAAGTTAACCGTATGAGGCCTAGGTTCTCGACACTCCCTACTTGGTGGGTTGTGGATGTAAGACGTAGAGCACAAAACTCTGCACACGGCAGTGCCCTATAGGCATCATCGCAGGCGTCTAGTACAGTGAATAAGTCTACGCCGTGGCATCGAATCAGCAGCCTCCCGTGTTGCAGTCTATCCGTTTCGATAAGGGAAAACTCCCCACCCCAGATAATGTTGTCCAAGCTTCCTACCCCCCAAACAACGACCTGCAAATGCGATTGATTGATCGGTGGCCAGGTCCGACGGTATGCAGAACGTTTCAAAGAACATGTTCAAGGACAGCGACGACAGCCAGAGCGACATCGACAGCGAAGATGACCGCCTTGAGGGATGGAAGCCCCCGACGGCGTGCGGTGTAGACAACAGCAAGGCGCTCTCGAGCTACGAAGACATCGCAAGCGGCAACGTGCGTGCGTCTCCAGGAACAGCGTACGCAATCGCGACTGCGCTTACCATACTTGGTCGGAATACAGTCACCATGCTACCGTTCATTGCCAACGCGTGCCTACCGTACGTCTTGGTTGCAAGAAATGACGCACACAGGAACCAAGTAACTCGAGAAGCAAGTACCGTCATCTATAACGTCGCTACACGGGGCTTTCCGAAAGGAAAACGCGATGCAAGTAAGATCGCCGGCTCACAACCATCTGGAAACGCGGACATCTGATGGAGTCGTTTTGCCCGTACGGTGTACCAACATGATGTCGCTTCGCTGCGTCAGGTGCACAAAAAGCTCGCAGACGGCACGTTTGGCGCAGAAGAGGGGGGCGCCGATGGAGGGCTGAAGACATCGGGTTCGCGAGCGATGGATGCCTATCGGATGAAGCAGACGGGGGCGACGGCAACGTTCGATCCGACGCGCGGAGGGGCGAAGGTGAACAGATGTAACATGCGCTGCAGGTAGAAGCCTTGACGGAAGCTGCAGCTTTGTAAGAGTTGAGCATTCACAGTGTCGTTCCATACTGTTTGGCATAGCTTGTTTGAACGTCAAGGGTATAACCCCCTTGATCAAATCCCTACTCGCCACACAGGTCAACATGGGCGGTTTTGCTCAGAAGCCGCCACCTGGAGTCCCGCCTGGTCCTGGAGCTGGCGCTAAGGTGTGTGCAGACCGCCAGCACTACGCCGGTCTGTTGCGAACGTGGCTGAGGATTCATGCGTTCCTGATGCTCAAAGTTGAAAATCCCTGCCATGCTCTCGGAGAACAAAACACCTTCAGTCCGGTCCTGACTAACACAGCACATCCAACCATTCTTTCTGCGCGTTTTGTACCCGGGCACACCGCTAATTCCGAAAAATCATGCACCGACCGAGACAGCAAAGCAAAGCTAAGAAGAAAGAAAGCGGTTCCGACGATGACAGTAGTGAGGAAGAGGAGGAAGAGGACGAAGAGGACGAGGAAGATGAAGAGGAGAGCGAGGAAAGCGATTCTGGGGGCGCCAGAAAGGGTGGAGGCGTAGGCGCAGGCGCAGGCGGAGGCAGAGGCGCCCCCCCCCCTCGTGGTCCAGTCCCTGCGGCGCTTGGCGGGTCGGCTGCGGCATCTGCAGGCCCTCGTGGTCCCATGCCAAATCCTTTTCCTGCTGGGGGCTTCGGTTCGCCGCCCAACGCAGCCCCTGGTCCCCGACCAATGACAAGCCCATTCCCAGCAGCGGGATTTGCAAGACCGCCTGGCACAACCCCGGGCTTCCCTCTGGTAGATTCCGCCCGGCCCGTAGCAAACCCTTTCCCTGCTGGGGGCTTCGGTTCGCCGCCCAACGCAGCCCCTGGCCCCCGGCCTATGACAAGCCCCTTCCCAGCAGCAGGGTTCGCAGGACCGCCCGGCTCAGCTCCAGGCTCCTCTCCCGTACCCGCTCGCCCGGCCATGGCGAGCCCGTTTCCGACGGGGGGCTTCGGTTCCCCGCCCAACGCAGCCCCTGGTCCTCGACCCATGACAAGCCCCTTCCCAGCAGCAGGGTTCGCAGGACCGCCCGGCTCAGCTCCAGGCTCCTCTCCCGTACCCGCTCGCCCGGCCATGGCGAGCCCGTTTCCGACGGGGGGCTTCGGTTCGCCGCCCAACGCAGCCCCTGGTCCCCGACCCATGACAAGCCCCTTCCCAGCAGCAGGATTCGAAGGACCGCCCGGCTCAGCTCCAGGCTCCTCTCCCGTACCCGCTCGCCCGGCCATGGCGAGCCCGTTTCCGACGGGGGGCTTCGGTTCGCCACCCAGCGCAGCCCCTGGTCCCCGGCCTATGGCCAGTCCATTTCCTGCTGCAAGGTTTGCCAGACCGCCTGGGTCAGCTCCGGGCTTCCCTCCAATTGGGAATCCTACCGGTGTCGGGTTGCCGCCAAACGGCGACCCCCGACCATTGGAAAACCATTTGGCCTCGGACCCCAAGGTACGTCCTTCTTAAAGGTATAAGATGGGTTGAAACGTTGAAACCAAGCTTAAAACACGGCTATACCAAGGATTGTATCTAAGCGTCCATGTATTTTCTTCGCGCCGATCAAGTATCCCCTCACACCAACCGGCAGGCCGTCTTGGTAGCATCCTCAGTAAACGACGAGACTAACGAAATGACAGAACTTGTCGGACGGCTAGCTTCAATGTCGAGTTTTTCCTCACCTGCGATAAGAGGCCCCCTCTTTCACCTGAGTATGCTTCGATCGAGATAAAGGAACGCACCCGCTCTTCGGATATTGAATGCCTTTAGGCATTGCCAATGATACAACCAGGCATATATACCACCACGACCAACGTAGTTTCAGCTCTTATAGCTGCATACGACAGTTTCAAAGTTTTCCCGAAACATCACGTCCACTCTCTTTGCAGGTGTCTCCGGGAGAGCGTGAGGACAACGGGGAAGA